TGGTGCACCTCCGCTGAGTGGGGCTGACAATAGCTGAGGATCCGGCCCGTGTCTTGTCAGGTTCTGAGCTTGTAAACAGGGTGAGATGGTATTATTACCAACAGACAATCTCTGCCTGCGTGAGCTATTTATTCCCCAGTTCTCTCCCCTCCCTTTCCACTGCTCCTCAAGTGCTGTTGCTATCAGCATTTGTGACCAGCTCTACCCATTCACACCCACTAAAACCTTGTGTTGTGTGAGGTGGGTTTGAAGCTGTTGCTGATTTTAATGGTGGCAAGATCAGAGCTTTCACCTCCTCATCGCAGACCTGGTTACTGACTTACATTCAGAGCTACGTGGCCACAGCCTGTGTCTGTGCTGGGCTGAGTTTGAGAATACAGCCAGGAATTAATGGGGATGAGTTTCCCCAAGTACACTACAGGTCTTTATGCTACAGACCTCAGAGGACCAACAAGAAAATTGCATAGCTCACTCATGTCCCCCTGGAAAAGGGGCTGGCAGTGCCCAGGTTTGTGTTGTCACTCCCGTGTCTTTTCCTGTTATTGCCATAAATTTGCTCCTTGAGCACTGCCAGGGATGGGGCAGCCACAGCTTCTCTGGGCACCCTGTGCCAGCGCCTCAGCACCCTCACAGGGAAGAGCTTCTGCCTAGGAGCTCACCTCCTTTCCCCCTGCTCCTCACAGTGCCTCGTGGGGCAGGGTTGTGGCACCCTCCGCAGTGGGAGGGGAGCATTGTGTTCCCCATTCCCCTTACCCACACTGTGTTTGCTCCGCAGGGTCTGCAGCCACCAGCAGCTCACCCAGTCCTGCGAGCAGAGTTATGAGACATCACTACTGGAACCCCTGTCACCAAGAGAAATGCTTCCACTGGTCTGGAAGTGCCTCGCTGCCTGCCCGGTGAGTGGCTGTTGTTTCACCAGTTACTGGAGTGAAGTTCAAGTACTCACAGAACAGCCATCTAGGGGAGAGCTGTGGAGGCAGAAAGCAGGCTGGGAGGGCCACCAGCTGTAGAATGCTAACAGAAAAGGGAGGTTTCCCAACAGGACACTGCAGTTATCCCACTGCTGAATCCTTCCCTCCCCTGAACTCCCACAGAGGTGTTGGCCACTTCACTAATCAAGTGTAGGAAAGGCCAGGTCAGAGAGACTGCTACTGACCTGTCCTTGTGCTGGCTCTGCCAACCTGGGGGGAAACACTTGCACATGGAGGCTTGGTTTGACAAAGAGTCATGTAGTGCGTGGAATCATAGAAACAACGGGGCTGGAAAAGGCCATTAAGGTCAAGTCCAACCCTTACCACTGAAGTCCTGCCAAGTCTACCACTAAACCATGTCACTAAAGCAACCCTTCTGTAAAGTGTCATTGCTGCACCAAGATGATCAAGAGCAAAGCCTCTGGAATGCTCTGAAAGGAAGAGAATTCCCCCTTGTTTACAGTACAAAAATTTTATTCTTGTCGGGATAATTTCAAGTTTCCAGCAGAACATTTTCATTTTACAAACAGAGGCTTCCGTAAGTAGGACCATTAGAAACAGTAAACCAAAAGCTATCTTTACAAAAGCTCTGTGCATAGCAACTTCAGACCGTGGGTAACTGACAAAGCAAAACCCCAACAGAACGCCCAGCCAACCCCAAACCAACCCCAAAACTATACAGGAGGGGAAAAATGAGGCCGGAATTTACAGAAGGGCAAAAATGGTCTTTCAAATCCATGCATATTGGAGGTGTGCAAAGGAAGAGGGAGAGTGAGATGTGATACCAAGATAAATGAGCAAACAAAACATACTCTTCCAAAGGTAGGATGTAATTTGTAGTTACCTATCGCAACGCTTTCATTTCTTTAGTGGCAAAAAGGAAAGCTGCTAGGAAATAGTGAACAGAAATGACTAAAAGAGGACAGATTTGCTTATTATACTTGAAGAAAACCCTTACACTTCAATTTTTACTTTTCCTTTTTGCTGGGTGCTTTGCCACTGCTAACGTCCTTCTTCCATGGCCAAGGATTTCTGATTGGAGTTATTTACACAGTTTTCCTTGTAAAGCTACCAGGAAGTTCTACACTCAGCTCAGGTACGGTGATTTCCTTGCATGAGCCAAATCCATGCTCTAAATCACTGCTGTGTTGAATGGTTTTCATTTGGCTTGGGTCAGACCAAAGCTCTTTCCCACACTTACACAGGCAGACACAGTGGTTTCTCCTCCTGTACTCGATGTTGCTTTCTGGGGAGGTGTCCTCTTGTGTTTGGGTGCACGATTCCCCCACCTCAGCAACTGCATGGAGCCAAAAGAAGCAACTCCAGTGTGAAGGGGATGTTGAGTGGTTCAGAACTGTCCCCTTCCTGTTGGGTTTACCCTGGTTCTCCCCAAGACACCAGCGAGCTTTGCTAAGGGCCTGTGCTCACTAAGCAATAGGAGAAAAGAAGGTGGGAATTATCAGAATGGCTTTTTCTGGGAAATGTTCCATTTTTTACATTTAAAACCCTCCTGACTGAGATTCTGAAATGCAAATCTTGCTAAAAGTTGTGGGAGGATTTAAGGGAGCTCCTGCTGCTCTCCAGCATGGGATCCGGGAATTCCTACCTGGAATATTCGCTGGGCATCGGATTTTGCGTATAAGAGAAATAGCATTTCAGAAGTGGCCTGTACAGAGCAGGGGGGGAGATCTCCCTCCCTCCTGATGCTTTGGAGCTGTTTGGGGTTTTCTGGTAGGTCAGAATGGGAAGGAGGGAGCTGAGACATCAGAAACGAGCCTGGTCCATGAAGAGGTTGTTTGGGAATCTGGGACTCAGGGTGGTATTGACTGATGTTATTTGACTCCCAACTCTAATAATCCTCAGTTTGGTTTTTTATCTGTGTGTGTGCAGAACTCCAGACTTGACTCTGGCCATCCCACTCGGCCTGCCTGGGACATCAGTACCTAGGGATGCAAGGAAAACTTTTCTTGGTGTTCTTTTATGTCTTGCTCTGAGTGGCAATGCCCAGGTTATCGTGATGCGACCCTGCAGCCACAGTTAATGGTGAGTTACTTTATTTCACCTCTGGAATGCAGATGCTTTCAGTAGCCTGACTGCAAGGCCCTGACTGTATATTCATGCTGCTTAAAAACACATTATTCCCACCACATCTCTATTTGAAGTTGCTTCTAATTGGGTTTTTGCTGATAGAACAAATCGGGCCTTGAGTTTTAGAAGACAAAAACCCTCTCCACCTTTTAGAAACAAAATTCAGTAGCATTGAAGAGGCACTTAATGAAGCCCTGGCCAGGACCTCACGGTGGGGTCAGGATGACAAGGAGGGACCCAGTTCCACTGTCTCCCCAGTCAGTGCCAACTTCTAGTTCAGAAGCACCCTGTACATCTTCACGTATGTTAAATACCTCTCTCTCATGAGCTGAACCATGCCTCCATGGTGAAAATGGAGATGCTCTACTCAAGGGGCTGATGTTACACACTGGCACAACACATCCCTGCACCCAAGTCCTGTCCATGCCATGTGGGTGTGCGAGTCCCATCCCACCCCCTGCACCTTGTCACTTATCCCTGTGGCCAGATGTGAAGCACAGGTCTAGAGAGGAGCTTCCCACTCTACTGCTACTCCAAGCAGGCTCCAGATCACCCCAGCCTTGTCCCCACTCTTCACCATCCCAGGTCCAGCACTGAACATTATTCCCCACACATCAGGATCACCAGGAATATTATTTTACTTACCCATCAATAAAACTACCGGGCACATGGACAAGGACAGTTTCAGGGGCCATATATGAAGGGTTTATTTATTAACATAGTGTTACCATAGGAACAACTGTTCATGCAGGTAGGAACTGTGTGTCTTTTAGTGGGCTGTAAGTTGTGTGCCTGATTTTTTTTCCTTTAGAAACATCTTTCCAACAATCAAATTCTCTCAATGGTCTCTGGTTTGGTCAGGTAACAAGTGATGGGTTTTCAACAGCCTTGTTCTCGCCTTCCAGTTTCAGGAGAGAAGGAGAACAAAACTTTCTTTTTACTCTAAAATGCATAAAAATTCAAAGCAATCAATTACTTCTATGAACTTCAATATATAAATGGAAAATACTTACCATTTGTAATGACTCAGGATAAAAGTGCATAAATTATTCCAATACATATTTACCCTTATAAATGCACCCTTAATATGGAGTATAACTGAACTTAAGGTGTTCTAACTACATGGAAGAACAGGATGTTGCAGAACCCTCTTCCTCATACATCGAATCTATAAAACACACTCAGTACCTCATGACAAATCTGATCCATTCAGAGCCCTCTGGGCCATTCCTTTGCCAGGAGGGTCTTTGAGACTTAGCAGTTAATCTTAGTACCTGAATATCTGAACTGAAACCAAAACTGGAAGGGGGGGGAAAACGAGAAGGATGCAAATTCATACATGAACCAGCAACCTGGAGACCACAAGGGATGTAAAAGTTCCTGATGGTTTTGTTAATCAGAAGGAATTCTGTACATCCTTGCACATGGAGTCAGTCGGAGGGACCAGGGAGGAGCAATCGCAGCGGTAATAATATATCTCAAACTTATCACTACATTTTTGCATCATTTTTCTTCATTGTACAACTGGAGGAAAAAAAAAATCCAAAAAAGGGTTTAATTTCTACCTCTACATACAATAAGTTACAAGTTTATTTATTTAAATAATTGTAAAACATCTTACATTTTTTAAAGAGGTTAAACTATGAGCAAATACACACATACACCAAAGTTCCATCATTCACGGCAGGTTGTTCGTCCTAGAAATCCTTTCATGCTGGTACCCTGTTTTGTTGAATTGTTTGTTTTTTCTGCATAAACTAAATCGATATCTGAAAGGCTCCGTAGAAAATAGAAACTTCAACTTTTTTCCCCTACAAAGTAAAACAAATTGTATCCAAAATATCACGCTTGAATCATTTCTGCCAATTTCTTTCTCCTTTTCATAGTTTACAAATCTCAGGAAGGTTTCACGGCGGTCAGGAAAGACTTTTTGCATTTCGGGTTCCATTCGGGCAACTGTTGCTCACCCCGGCGCGTGGCTGATGCTTCCTTCGCAATGGTTTAGGAGTTGACGTGGTTGTGTCACAAATATGAAACAGGTAAAAGATGCAACTTCTGTCTTGTCCAGTCTGTAAAAAATGTTCCTTTTTTTTTCTCTCCTGGGCCTGGCTTTCCCCCAAAAAAGAGCTTGTAGTGCTATTATTTTCTTTTAGTGGTCCATCACAATAAGTAGTTTTGTGCTGTAAAAGAAACATGAAAACAAAAAAGAGGAAAAAAGGGAAGAGGGAGAGGAGCAGAACTGCCTCTTCCTTACATCGGGGGAACGACAAGGCCAGTCATGGCTGAAAGAGAAAAGTGACAAAGATGAAAGTCTGGCAAACTGGTAAGGAACAAAATACATCCGAGCCCCTCAGCTGATGATGGATAAATCAGTTCAGCCCTCAGCAGTCAGTTTCTGGAAATGCAAGCCCATTTTTGGGTGCTCATCTCCTGAGGTATCCTTGCGGATGGACATTGCTCAGAACCACCCTCAGAACTTCAGACTTCCCACTCCAAGCCCTTCTCAGGGGGCTGCTCAGTTCTGGGTTTCACTTCCCACAAAGCCTGTGTGCAGAAGGGTCATGTTGGAAGATGGGGAAGCAAGTGGGAATTGGCTCACCAGGGAACTGCAGGTCCCCATTCCTGGGACAATGACCAGAGCTGGGTTTGTTCATCCCCTTGCAGTGGAGCTATCAGAGCAGCGTGTTTCTCGCTCTGTTTGCCCCATGCCTGACCCACTGCAGCTCCTCCCTGGCACATTCCCAGAACACTGGGCTCATGGAAATCATTTATTAGTCACTCTGCCTGCCTCTCATTGCAGCTGGATCCCTCATAACTGACACCAGCAACACTGGAATCTGCCGGGAACTGGTGCTGTTCCCAGAGGTCCTGAGGGGTAAGTGAAGTTTATATGTATTTATATAACAAATGAGTGAGTCATATTTTCAAAGGGGCCTCGACGCAGCGCAAGGGCCTAATCCTGCACAGATTTATGTTCACTGAAACGTGTGGGATTATTCATGTGTTTAAAGCCCCGTCCTGTGGGAACTGATTTCACCCCTGTGTTTGCAGTGGTTAAAAAAGCGCTTGGGGCAAGCGCCTCTGCTACCACGACTCTTTCATTGGAGCTGTTTTTAAACAGCCGGGGCCGTGGGCTGGGGTTTAACAGAATGGGAAAAGAAATCTTGAAGTGAGAGGGCTGGAGCCCAAGCCAGTTCTGGTGCATCCCTGAAAGAGAAAGTGAAACCAGAGCACCTGCAGGGACACAGGGACTTCTGCTTGCTTGGGAATCTCCTATTGATTTTCAAACACATTTCCAAGCAGGTCATTTCCCTAACCCTAACCACAGCAGGTGAAGATCCAAATGCCTGCTTTAGGGGGTGCATTAGAAGGAGAGAGATTTTCTGCTAACACCAAAGAGCAAGCTCCTCCTCCCCAAACTAAACCATGACCCTAAGGGTAGTGTTGGCCTGGCACTGGAGCCTTCTCCCTGTCTATTAACCACAAGCCTCCCTTTATGTCCTCTAGGAAAGAAAACTCTGCTTAGTCTTGGATTGATGCCCTCGTCTGGATGCCACTGGGCTGGAAGCAGAGTAGGTGTCCCCCCCACACGCAGGTATCCAGTGTGTATCTGTGTGAGCTCTGCCTCGTCTGCCTCAGGCGGAATCATCCAGGTGAGCTCAGAGGATTGAACCCGTGTCTCCAGGGGAACCTGGCTGGTCCTTTGCCTACAGCAAACACAGGAGCAGTTCCAGAGGTGGTGCCTGTGGCCACCTTCCCTTCTGGAACAGCCGGAGTCAGGCTGGCTGTGGGCAATCAGATTGTCCCTCGCACAGGGAACACGGATTAATTCCAGCCAGGCAGGGGCTGTTCCTGAGGGGAACACGCATTGGCACAAATGCCTTTTCTGATACTCTTGTTATCAGCATGATTTTCATTTCTTTTAAGCAAGGAGAACCTCTTCCAGCAGATCAAAGCAGAGATCAAGTCTGACTTTGTGCTGGGTCTCTTCAAAAGTATTTGAAGAGCACTCATAGAGGCATCATTTTGGGAAGTTCCTTACAAGTAATGCAAGTCCATTTTTACTGTATAACTGGAATATTCTGTTCTGCAGCAGTCCTGGACTCAAGCTAGTAATAGCAACAGCAGCACAGCCTCTGCAAGCAGGAGAGTGCATTACTACCCCTATAGGGGGTTCTGGTGACCCCTCTTGTGCCTCCTTTCCTCCTCCTGAGCAAACAGCAGGTCTCTACTTTCCATTCCTTGCTTTCCTCTCCTTATTTTAGCTCTCCCAGCCCAAGTGGGTTTTCTCCCTGCAGGCTGTGAGTGCTCTGGAGCAGAGACACTGCTCAGGAGTTGTAGGGATGGAACCTGCCACTGGGCAAATTCAGGTAAAACTCTTCCCTGACACAGAAAGGACAAGCAAAGGGTAAATTGTTTCACTCCCTTTTCATCCTAAGCTTGCAACTTCGCCTCCTTCTGCAACAAAGAGCAAGGAGGGTGAGGAATATTGGCTGCAATTCTCACCTGGTTTTCCCCAGCTCATCTGCGCGGCTTTGCTCTGTGCTTCTCTCTTTTTTACATACCCTCATCTGCCCATTTCCACCCCACCTCCACTCCCCTTTGGGGCTGCACTGTCAAAAGCCTATTCCCAGCCTGTATCGCTTTTTATTGAATGTTTGTGAGGTTTGGATTAAGGTCTTACACTGCTAGCAAAGCTGTAATTATTTTTGCCTGTATTACTATATATTGAATCGATGTAACTTTTCAATAAAGGTGGTTCAATGCAGGACACTCCCTGATGAGTTGGGAATATAGAAACCACAGTCATTATCCCAGAGGGTCTTTTTTTTCTCTTGGAGGGAAATGGAAAAAGAATTAGAGATGAGCCTTATTGTATTAACCTTGACAGCTTGCAATTATCAACTGAAACACTTCATTAAAATTGTCACAGGGTTGGAGAATTTTTTTATAAATAAATAATCCAACGTGGATAGCACCCAGATGCTCTGGTGATGGGCACCTTTAATGGCTGTAATTAATAACCATCACAGGCCTGGTGTTTACAAGTAGCCCCTAAAACTGCTGCCTTGCTCTGTAGTGGAAAAGAACTCTGCAATTCAGAGAGCTGCTTGGTAAGCACCGGACACATGTATGCACATACATGTGTGTGCACACGCTGATCTAGATCTTCAGTGCTTTGCTGGAGCCTAAATACTGGCCTGGTTTAAAACTCTGCTTTCTAGAGGAGGAAGATGGGTGCTGAGCATTTACAGTCACCGTCACACCAAAAGCACTGCCTTCTCATTTGATTTTCCTCTTTCCGCACTAGGTTCCCAGCAAACTCCAGTCCTGCAGCTCTACAGCTCTTTGGTGAACAGTGCTCCAGTGGTGCTACTCTGAGCATCTTAACTGAATGTTCCTACCCTGCAACACCAGAAACATCACGCCTGAGCTGGCTGCAGGTAACGGGAGGGTTGCGCTCTGCAAGCCACCAAGCTGTTGGTCTAATAGAAGCTGCAGCCTCTGCCCCCAGACTTCACCATCCTGCTGAATCCCAGCACCGTGACCATAGAAAATGTGCAGACTTACTGTCAGTATTAGGAGCATGCACCCGTTTATTGTCATCATTTATTATTAAGTAAGGAACTGAAAATGATAAAGGATTTCCAGAGGAAAACCCCGCTGGCCTCCAACCAGCAGTGGGCTCTGCTGAAGGGCACCATCATCCTTTAGACTGGAATGAAAGTGAACTAAATTCCAGCTCCTGTGCAGGATGGTTCCAACTGAGACACTAAAATGCAGTCAAAAGCTTTGAGTTTTTCCTAAAGAATTTATTTTTTTTCCTCCAGGAAATCAACACTTTTGTTGCAGCAATGATTCTGGATCTGGATGGAAGCCTGGAGATCGGCATTCACCCACTCACCGCCTCTAACCACGAGCAGGTAAGGTATTTATGAACAGTGGGTTTGCCTCTCTTAGATAACAAGCAGGTTAAGCCATGTTTTATGTAAGATGTTTTTAAACAATCTGGGTAAAACCATTGACAGCTCAGAGGTGGAGAAGTCAACTCGGTCTCACCTGTGGCGTTGTGTTGATGTAGTTACTGCCTCACCATGGCACTAAACTGTAGGCACTAAAGGCTGCCTCAGCAACCACTGTGATTTAGTTCAAACTCATTAGGAACACCCTTAAAATCAAAATACGTGTTTGCAGTGTCACACATGCATTAGTTTAATTACCGAAGCACACAGGAATGCAAAGCCACTGCAATTAGCTGTTCCTCCAATTAGACTAGAAAGCAGCTACTTTTTCACCTCCAAGTTGTCAATAGTGAATCTTGCCCAATATCCTCCTTTTTTGGGGGGGTACACCCAACAGTCCTGAATATTTCCATTAAAAAAGGCAGATTTTTGGTTTTTTCCTAATAAAAATGGAGCTCTTGTCTAGCCCAAATAGCTCTGTGACATATGAAGAGCTGCTAAAAGTAACATTCCATCAAATGAAGGATAAGTAATTAATAGTAACAGGAGGTATTTTTGTTCAGTTAAGTGTTAGCAAGATTTAAATAGCTCTCAAGGTTTTTATTTTGGAGCAGGCTGTGCTGCTTACATCTCTGCCAATGAACTGGGGAGAAAACTGTACTTGATCTTCCACTATACTGGATTTAATCAGATGGCAGATACATATTTCTCATACCTATTGGTATCATGTACACAGCATTTGCTGCCTTTGGCATAATTAAATCACTTCTTGGCTCTGGAATCATTCTGATTCAGGCAGAAGCATTCTGCTTGCACATTCCTAGCGTGGAAGTGGCCCTGTTATTTTTACCTGGTTAGAATCTCTGGTAAGAGTTACTTTAAGAGTTAAGAGTATACCTATCTGTTGAGTGGAGCAGCAGATCACGGTCTGCACTGGAACCACGCAGGAGCCATTGTGTTGTGTGAGCAGGCCAGGTCACGGGAATCCCAGCCCTTCCAAACTTTTCACAGCAACTGTTTCTCTCTATGTGTTTGCACAGCCTTTTAATGCAAGGAGAGTGGAACCCCTGTGCTGTTGCCACCCGTAATGTGGCCAGGACAAGGTACTGGTAATTAATTAGGGTCCTTAATATAAATACCTGGATCTCTTTAGGAAACAGTCCAGGTGTCCCCTTTGCTAAACTGTTTCTGAGGGTATCAGACTTCAATACCTTTGGATTGGCCAGGATCCTGACAGTTAATGGAACATCTGACCTTCTGGGGCTTGCCTGCTATTCCTTGTAACTGAGCTTGCATTTTTATGTTGAGATGTGCTGAGCTGGCCAAAGGGAATCTGGGCAGGCAGCAGTCCATGCTGTTCCAGCAGTTTCCAATTTGCTTGCTTTTCCCATCAGCTGCCTTCCATCTGAGATGATTGGGCATTTGTGTACCTAGCATGCTGTGTTGCATCACGTCACATCCTATCCAGTGCCTTTTCTAAACTGCCTTGACATATGACATGAACAGAGTACACAAGTGTTGTGATCAGGATCACCTGCGCTCAATTTGGACAGCATATAGAAGTGAGTGGTGTCCAGTATGGATTGCTGCTTGTTCTCTACCTATAATGTCCTGTTACACTGTAGGAATGGATAGCAGATGGCAGGTGAGAGAGGTAAGCAGGAACACATGGCACAGGGGGTTATCTGAGGGTATTCTACATGTCTCAGCTGCGCTGTGCAGCCCAAAGCCGAGTAGATAGGTAGGTTTCATGCTTAGCCAATACTTTTGAGTTACAGGATATTCCCTAGCAGCTCTCCTACTGGCTCCAGCAGCTCTGAAGCATCACCAAGGCCTTCCCCCCAAAATACATTTTTGGAACAAAAATTTCCAGCAGTAAACTGCCTGGGATAACGGGAATGCCAGTCTGAGGATGAAGCTTGCACAGGCACAGCTACTTCTGTTTAGACCAGTTTTAACTCAGGCTTAAACACTTCTTGGCTAATGTATGTGGAAGTTATATTCTAGGTTTTCATTGCTGCTTGTGAGTGGCATGCCCTGAGGTGTGGGTAGCAGTTCTAATGTTTTCATTGCAACAGGATGTTGTACGTAGGATGGAGTCTCTATCACCAGGAAGCTTTTGCCTTTGAACAAAAGACATAGCTAAGTTACGTTGCAAACATTAAAAGAAATCCCCACTGCAGAGATTTTGCCCTAAATTATGGAGGGTGGGGAAATGGAGGTAATATCAAATCACTTGTGCCTGGAATGCTTTGGGAAGGAGCCTGCATCTACTTACTGCTTGCTCTGCACTTTTGCTATTCCATCTTCATCAGTATTTACTGATGCTGAAATCTGAGATATAAGTAAATAAATTACATTACCAGCTCATCTATTCTTAGCTTACAGTACCGGGCAATGGCATAGCCGAGGGGATTAACAACCTCCCATTGCTGCAGCCCAGTAAGTCCACTCAAGCAGCCTCTTTGGGACCCTCCTGTTGACTTTCTGGCCACATCTGTCTGTCAGCACTGTGGGAACGTTAATTTGGATATCAGGCTGTGTGTATCTGGATCCTTTCCAAAGCATGTGCTCCCCAGCTTGCATCAATTTAAATATTTCAGTTGGAAAGGAGAATTTGCATCTATGGCTGGAACCGTTCAATAGTTACAAAGAGCTGGCAGGGCAAACGTGGGCAGACGGGATCTATTCTGCAAAGCAACTGCTACCTTTGCTGGGAGTCATCTGTTGTTGCAGTCTGACAGGTCCTGGTGTGCTCTGTGTGCTGAAAACTTCTTTAAATAACAGCACATTATCGTATTTATGTATCGGGCTGTTGATGTACAGGAAGTATCCCACAAAGAAAGGGATATGGTTAATAACTTTGTATGGGTTTATCCATGCCCAAGTCTCTGCATCTGTATATGCCTAAGCTATTTCAGTGAATGACCATAACCTTAACTGATCCATTAGTCTTGAACCCCTCAGGAGTGGAGCTTTTGTCAGCAGAGATGCACGGATGTGAGGACAGGAGTTTGAGGTTTGAGCTTTTATGTTAAACTTCAAATTCTATTTTTAAATCATTTATTGATGACTAACTTATAGGTTGGACAAAGTGTGATGTAAACACTAAGCACTCTAATGCTTTACCTGTTCACAGAAGGATTAAAAAGGAGATAAACTCTTGCTAAGTGGAATCTTGAGCAGCCAGGACAGACGTGGTAAGTTAAGGAAAAAAAAGTATTAACTTAAAAGCCAGTGGGGTTTTTAATCTGTGTTTATTTCTGACTCCCTGAAACAGTAAGAGTGATTTTCTCATTGAGCTGATCTGGGGTTGGCACTGCCTTAGGTAACTTCATAACAATGAGGCCTTCCCAGCATAGCAGTTAGGCAAGCCTAACATTAAAGCAGATTTAAATCTGTTCCAAACAAACTGATCTGGCTTTAGATTAGAGCACTGTCCAACCGACTTAAGCTGAACATGCAAACTATTGTTAAGCTGATCCCCTTCCTAGGTAAATGTTTCACTAAGTCAGACCAGGCACTGATGAGGGCTCTTTAGGCACCAAAATTAACTTACAAAAACTAAACCCATACCTGAACAGCTTAGATGCACAGCTACAACTGCTGGGCCAACAAAACCTCCTACACGTAGAGTGAACAAAGTTACTTCAAATCCTTCTTCTCACCTTCTTTAAACAGTGGAAAAGAAATCCCATTTCCCATCTCCATCTTTCTCAAAGAGGAAGATCTCAGAAGCAGCTTCCTGCCACTGGGGCAGGGGAAGAAGCTGCTTCACACTTCTGTAAGCTTGCTTTTAAAAGGGTAATTGTTTTTGTTCCCTACACTTAGAATTTCCTTATTGTATCAAATAATCACACTGTGCATCCCTGGGGCCCAGCTAAGGATTTATAACGCACCCAAATCAACAGGTGCAGTTTGTGGGGCTCGTTCTGGAATTACCACTGGCTCTTGGCATGGCTGAATTCCCAGAGTTGTGTTTTCTGGGCTATCTCTAGTGAAGTCTGAAGGAGCCAGGTGACTTCCCAGGCCCTATAAAGGCTGTTTTTATGGAGACTTGGAGCATATTTAAGTGTCGCAACCCCCCCCCCCCCCAGCCTGTTAAAAGAAATAATCTAGCACAGGTTTCCATTCTTATCTTAATACTCACATTTGTTTTGCAGATCACCTTTAAAAAGGCTGTAAATGTACTACAGGGCTCAATTCCCGGTATGCGCCTAAACCTTGCAGCAGGTTTCGAGCCATGGGCTGTTACATACAGGGCTGTGTGGTAACTCTGCAGGGCAGACACTCATTTTACAAGTCCCTAAAGCCTAAGGAGAAGTTGTTCCTCACCAAAGATCTGGGACTGGAAAGCAGCACGGGGCAAATCCTCCTTGGTCTAAATGAGTGTCTGTCCCCTGTTGTTTTAAAACCAAATAGACAAAGCTCAGAGCATCGCTTTAATCCAGTTGGATTGGGTCAGATTTCCACTACTCAGTCCTGTAATAGCCATGTAATGGTATTCAGATGATTCCTGTGTTTACCCAGACTAACACTGTGTGCTTTACATGTGCAGGCTGAATATTAATTGTACATTTCTTACCTCTAAACCCATTTCCATTGCCACTAGAGCAGGCGGGAGAAGGAGACCCTTGGGGTCTGATGACAGGAGCAAAGGCACTCTTCTGTTTGACGGCAGGGAAGACGGAAGAGGAGAATGGAAGGATGGAAGAAGTGCTGGAGGAGCCAACTGTTGGACTTGAAGACATTACTGCAACAGAGAAAGGTGAATCCTTGTCAGAAACACAGGCACAGAAGTTTGGTAAAACTGGCTGTCTCCCTTCTTTTTATTCATTCTACTTCTACAAGAAGATCTCAGTCTGAGCTACAGTGTAGGCAAATATGTAACAGCTCAGTAAATAGCTGGTTAGCTGTTCATTAGTTTATTTATGTGTGTGTAAATACATCTTGTCAGAGAAAAACCAAAGCATGAAAGGAACATTTACCATTTGCTAATGGTAAAACTAGTAACTATATTCCAGAACTGAATCCAATCGTTGTTGTATTTCTGGTTATGACAGTAGCACAGTTTCACAGGAAATTTAATCCACAATTCAGCTCTGGGGTTGATAATGCAGTTCCTACACATACAAATTGTTTTAGAGTGTACTGGGAGTAGCCCGTGCTAGAAGTGATGGCTACTTGCTCAGTCTGAAGTAAGTTGCAAACTGTACCTTCCTTCTCACTGTGGCCTTTGCCACTTTGGAATCTGTATAAGGATAAAAAGTGAAGGAAACACAAGCAGGATTGATTCAGTATTCCTCTATTCTTGAAAAAAGGGAACCCTTTCTAGTTCATACCAAAACCCACCAGAACCCAAACCAGAACCTTTCACAAAGGTTTTGCTAAATCTTGAGCACTTCTCTTGAAAGACATCACTTGCTGCATTTCCCAACATGCTAAATGAAGTTGAGCAGGAGCAAGACTCAAATGTAAGAGGAGCAGAGCACGTACAGCCATAGGGGGATCCTGTGGGAGAGCCGTTGATGAAGCCGGGCGAGCCGGGGACGCCCAGGTTGGACATGGGGACGTTGCTGTAGCCGTTCATGCTGTTGCTGGAAGTGCTGTAATTGGACTGTTGAGGCGTGGAACTGGAGGAGTAACCTCGGGGTGAGATGCTGCTCGTATTGCGAATGTAACCTGGAAGAGAACACATTGCAGAACTTTCCCCTGTGTACTTCTGCTTAAGTAAATGACTGACTTAAATCCAGACTCATTAAAACATTTAAGGAAATACCCTTAAATTCAGGGTGTTTCTGCACGTGCTCTCAAGTGAAGCAATATTAAGTGTTAGAACAAGGTGGGGAACTGACTTTCTGCAGTGAACTGATGTGTATTTTTCTAATCACAGTTGGTTTGAATAAAATCTGGAACCTGTTCTCAGCCCTGGAAGGCAGCGTGTGTGCCTCTCTCCTTCTGAGGTAGAATCCAGCAGGGATGGGGATTGTCTGTTGTTTTAGGGGGGAGATTATACTTCTCAAATTATTAATGCATCACGAATAAAGCAAGTACATTAGTAAGGGGAAATTACAACCCAGATCTAGTTTGCAGCTTGACTCTATGCTTTTTATATGTATGTATTATATACAGTGTCTATAGATATTTGGGGTAAAGAACAAACTGGATAAATAAAACCATTTTTTGTCTGTAAAAAATATCACAGATATTTGAGAATCAAAATTTACCTCTTTTTTTTCTCCAAAAGGAGCCCTGACCAACACCACAGCCATCAGCATTAACATATAAGGCTATTATTACAGCTGCAAATGGCCTTTTTTCATGGAAAAGCTTTCATTAGAAAGTTGGAATCCGATACCTGCTTTAAATGTGGTTACCATGTAGGTATCAAGCCAGGTGCTTTCTGCCCATTTATATTATGAAGTTCTAATTCAGGGCTGGTAAGACCTTATTAAGAGAAGCAGCAGAATTATCTATGTGATGACTTTTAACACAACACAGGTAATATGAACTTCCTCTGTCATGGGTTGACTGCTGTGGAGCGTTAAACACTGCCCTGCTCCTGCAGTCAGCCACAGACTGGGTGTAACTGGGATCAAGTGCTAGAAGTCCAAACATTCAGGAGTCAGAAAACACCCAAGTTTGTGCTGCTCCCATGATGTGTTACTGCTAATTTAATTTAATTACTTCAGGGCACGTTTTCCTAACTATCAATGATATTTATCACACAAGTTAACATTAAGGTAACACCGCCAAAACAGCCTTCAAAAGAAAAAAAAGGATTTTCCCACCTATTTAACCCTGTTGCTGTCTTTGTCTTCTCCAAAAGCAGCAATACAACAACAAAAAAGCTGTTGTGGGGAGCAGGGGGGGAGGACTGGGGTGAAGCTGGTAACAAAACCTACTCAAAACTTATTTCACACATAGCTGATGTGGTGCCTGGGAGCAGTGGCAGACAGAGCACCAACCAGAATGGGAGCACACCTCCAGTTCTAATGCAAACAGTTCAAAGCCACCTTTGTGTCCATCAGCTGAGCGGGTCCATCAGCTGAGGAAGGCCTGTGCTCAGGTTTGTACTGTTTAAATGAACCCCGCACCGCTTGCAGCGCTTACCTTGGTTGTTCCCTTGTGCTGACTCTGAAATGCTGACTCCTAACTGGCTGCCGTAGGAGTTAATTCCCATCATACTGCTGTGCGCGGGAGAGCTGGAGAGCGCGGGGATCTGGGCAGGGTTCCGCGGCACGCTGTACAGAGCCTCTGCGATGTCCGCAGCTCGTTTCAGGATGATGTCCTGCGGGACAAGGGGGACGAGCTCAGAAACATGCATGGAGAAGAGCCCTAGTGTTGACTACCAAACCTGACCGTGGACCATCCCCTGCCGAGGACTCATCCTGACCTGGTTGTTGTGTGGCGTTCCATACAGTGCTTCAACTAGGTCAGCAGCTCGTTTCAACAGCATTTCCTGGAGGATGAGAAGATGCAGAACATTGATATTAGAACAGAAAAGGGTTTCAGTGCAAATAAAACCTTGGGTTTGTATTTTCTGAAGTGACTGCTGTTTGTGTGTGTTCATCCTGAAAAATGGGTCCCTTCAAGAGCCATTATTTGCCACTTATCTGACAAACTGAACCGTCTGCAGTATCTCAAACCCGATACCAACATCGCGGTGCATGAGATGTGCCGGCCCCGTGCTCCCGCTCATCGGGAGCTCTCCGTAGTCCTGAACCTGCCCTCGGTTCCATAAAATGAAAGGAACTTCCCGACCTATCCAAGTGAAATAGGAACTGTTCCCTTCTCAATTTCAATGGATATCCCTTTGCACAGACACATAAAAGCTGATTAATCCCCACGTCCATTTCTGTTTTCTAAGTAATAACCAAATAAAATCACTTTAGCTAGAAGGTATCTTATGTTACCTCTGGTTCTAGGGGGAAACTGACACAGTGTAACATCTGAATACAACAGTCATCACACAGTTGCACCATGTATTGGTACTTTTGGTACTGCACTAAATGGCAGCTGTGGGTTCCACACAATCCTATTCTTGTTTGGACCTGGTGAACGTAACTTATGTGCAGATGTAACAGTCATTTAAGACACAATTTTGTCTCTTTTATAAGAGTTAAAGAACATATTTAGTGGGCTCAGTGAAAAGCTTAAAACTCTTTTACCTTAGCTAGTCTTTCGGGGTCCCCAGGATGTCTCGGGATGACCTTCTGCAGTCTTTGGAAACCATAATCTATGGTAGGTTCATTTAAAGCTGAAAAGAAAACAGGATAAAACCACCACATTATATGAGTGTGTGTATATCTGTACCATCTATATCTAATCTGTATCTATCTGTGCCTGTGTCTTTGTCTAAGTTTCATTACCAGACAGACAAGTTTCACAGCTTCTTTGCACAAAACCTCTCCTTGCCTGGGTCCCTGGGAGGTGTCACTGCCTCCTGCTCAGGTAAGCCCTGAGCACTGAGTGTAAAATGGGCTGAATAATAAACTACTCACTCACTAATCCCTTTTCAAAGACAATCCTTACACTTGTGACTGGGGCTTACTTGGTAGGAGAACACAGAAATCACCACTTCTGCACTTAAAACATCAGGTTCTGATGCTCATTTCTCATCTATCGAAGGCTGAGTGAATAATCTGAAAGGTACAGCAGGGAGGCACTGCCACAGAAATACCCCTTTAAGGATGAATGTATTGACTTTGGGCAAAACTCACCGTGTCAAGCAAGTTATGGTACAAATACAAATCAGAACAGGTCAGAAATGAAAAGTACCACATTTTCTCATCTAATAAACACCCCCCAACATTTTACTATCACAAACTAGGGCACAGCTATTCATTAGACACATTAACATTGTCAGTGGTGTGTGGCTATGATGCACACAGAGCCACCTCACTGTGGTGCTGTTAATCTCCAGTGGATAATCTGAGCTATTTTGACCCAGATCCTCAGTCAGTAATAGCTGGCAGAGCCCTGCTGCCATCACTGATGATTTCATAACACTTCAGACACTTTAAATACTCTACTATGAAATCATGGCAATATGAATCTCATTTCTGACAAGTCCAAATTAAACTCCACATTAATACAGAAATCAAAAATCAAGTGCTCTGCATGCTCCAAAGCTTCGACTGCTTCTAATCCATTGGGATTACAAGCGTTTACTAACACAGTTACAGGTATGGATTTTAGGATTTCCTTATTCTTCAGAATGCATTAGAATGCAAACGAAGCACTGCTGCCAAGACCCTAATACCGTGGCACATTCAGTGAGTACCATCTGTAAGTCCATCAGCACCGTTCTCACTCAGCAGCTTCCACCCTCCTGCATCATTTTCCCTCCTTTTGGAAAAATGAGACTGATTTTTTACCTAAGCAGTGACATCAGCACAGGAAACCCCAACTGCAGGAGATGCCGATGGCATCTCCCAGAACATCCCCTGCACCTCGCGGGGAAGCCGCCTCGGACACCAGGAGGATGGAACTACCCAGTGAGGCAGCAATGACACGGGTCTGGATTCTGTTTATCTCTGCCTGTCTCTGGTATAACAACACGAAGGTAAAAGGTCACATTCCCCACTGAGAGACATCCTCTATTTACTTTCTATTAAATAATTATGGCATGGCATGAAGTTTAAATATTACAGGAGATAATCAAGTGGGAATTGAGCAGAGAAAATCCAGACCTGAGAATTTAGTCTTGGCTATACTTAGAATGTCTTTGCTCTCCACTGGGAGCCATTCTGGTTTGCTTAAGGAGTTTAATAATACACATTTCAACTGCCACAGAATCTACAAAAGGGGCTTTTTTGGGGAGGTGGGTTTTTTTTTGCCAATAATCCTGAGCATTATAGGCCAATTCTCTCAAGAGCCTATATATCATCTTGGGCCATCTCTCTTCTTGATTAGAAGTCTAACCAGTGCAGTTATAGATCTTAAGCCATGTAAAATCTATAGGAATTCAAACATAGATACACATAGTTTGCTAAAAATAGCTAATGGGAATATACAAAATGCTAATTCAGGAAGAAGAAATTGGCTGTTATTCAACAAACATTTTTCCAATGGATTGACATGGATATTTTCATTCTGATGAACAGCAGCAAATCACTTCTCAACAATGATGAATTGTCCTAAGGACTCGACCATTCTGAACCAAGAGCAACCACCTGGTGAATAAACCCAATTGTCAGTTAGATTCTAAACCCTGCTCTAGCATACCTGCTTTACCAGCAGAACTGTTGCAGTCAGCAGAAGGGAGAGGTTTAAATGCCCCTCAGCCTGCCAGGTTTTATCTAGCTCACACTATGGCACAGTGCTTCCTCTCTGCTATTGCTCCTTACCCTCCAGACCCCATGCCTTCAGCCTAAATACAAGTCTTCAGCTATTCTGACTCACTGGAATAGGAGAAGAAACAATTTCTCACACTTGAGCAACCGATGCCACGACATCTGTCTGCATTTGCAGAACCTGAAAAGGCAGCTCAGCCCCATTCATCTCAATGGGGACTAACTCAGACACCCAACGATAACAGTGCTGACATTTAAAGTATTAATTATTTCACCACACATCAAAGCACATCAGACTGTGGAAGGAAGATGATGTTATGAAGATCTGCACAATTCATCATGAGTGACAGCTCAGCCTCATATTGCCGGGGTGCGCCCTGGGAGAGGAGCGCTCTCCCTCTTTGCCAGTCAAAAAGGGACCCTAGCAGAGTTCTGCAGCTCCCCTCTGCTTTACTCCATGGCGCAGACCGGGGAGCAGCACATCCTCTGTTTGCAAAGTCTGAATGACAAGAAACACAGCAGGCAGAGCTCTAGAAGCATCCTGAACGCAGACAACTGAGCCAAGGGGAGCAGTTTACACACTCTGACAATCTTAAAGATGTGAGAGAAAGGCACCAGTGGCCTTAAAGCCTGAATTCCACCCTTCCCTGGTGAGCACCTTCACCAAAGCCAATAGTAAAAAGATGCTTGGTATTCACCTGACAGAATAAAACCTTCCCATGCTGCCAGCCCCAGCTGGACTCATCTTGGGCTTGGGAGGTACCTACACACAGGTCAGTCTACTCCGAGGGGTACACTGTGGTCTAGGGTGGGAAGGATGCTGCTAGGAGCACCCTGTCCTATCCTGTGTTCTGTTTGCTGTGCTGGTAACAGCTTTCCAAACACCCCACTCCCTCCCAGGGCAGCATTGCCTCCTATTGTGTGTGAGCCTTTCCTAGGCTAAAGCAGTGGCAGAGCAAATGCCTCCTGTCACATCAGTTGTGTTCTGCCCACACAAACTCGCTCTTCCGATTTGTAGAGCTCCCTGCACCCTTGTAAGTGTTGTTCCCCACAAGCAGGTAACAAGACCTTCTCAGATCTACTTACAAGCTTTAGCAAGCCAGTACCCTCCTACCCGTGGTGCATGGCACAGAGGCTGATAGAGTACAACCAGGAGTCCGACATATCCTACAGATTATTTTATATTGCACTGCGCTGACAAGGTAACCCCTGGGGGATTTCTGCTCAGCAAGGAAAATTATGTTCAAAATCTCCCTGATATACACGTTTCCAGGTTAGCATCTCTGTGACAGAGTAAATGCCGAGCTGCGATCAGACTTAAGATAGGAAAGCCTAGGAGACATATCCTCAGCTGGCGTAAGCTGATGTAAGCGTTATTAAGTCAGGGGGACTATAATGGAACTACTTACAGCAGCAGAGCACTGAGGCTGTGTAGTATTAAAGGCAGAATATGAGGCTGCTGCTGGATTAGCAGCAGAGAAAATGCCTTCTTCTTTTAGCAACAGCTGATGAAAGCAAAGCAATTGAGAACATGGGGGGGGGGTGTGTAACCTCTGCGCTCACCTGATGAAGGTGCACACAGGGACTATATGTTTAGTTGGGGTGATTTAAAAATAGACCTTTTATCTCTCACTTTAACTGCAGACTGAACTTAAAGCACGTCAGTTGCTTCAGCAACTGCCATTAACATCTAACAAGGCACCTCTAGCTTTTTGCTGTGCTCCCCAGCACACCCTTAGATGTCCATAGAACCCCATTGGCTTCACTCTTGTAAAAGTTTTCCATCTGGGAACCTTACAGAAAAGCCCACACATCACATTCGGGTGAAGAGAGGAATCTGATGGCTGAATGACAGTGCTCAGGAGTGGGAATGCTGAGAGCCCCGTGCTAGCACAGCACACCATGCAAGCAGCCGATTAGAAGCACACACCACAGGACACGTATGAGCTCCCAGAACAGCTCCACTGAGATGCACCTTGCATTTATATCTCATTCTTAGAGTCATCTTTTCAGCAGTTTAGCGTTTTCTTCTTCCAACAACCTGTGCTATTGTGACTCTAACAAAGGAAGAGTCGGACACATTAACAGCTGACTGTATATTAAATATGAAGGGTGTAGGCAGATGCACACAGTACTAAGATCACTGGTTTTCTGTTTCTATATTTTAGAGCCGTATTTGGGTTCTGCTGATGAAAGGATATGACCAGAACCCAAGAGATCTATTTCCCTAACTTTCAGCTCTCCTGTATGACCACAGGCCTCACTGCCCTATGCAATGGAAGCACGTGTCTGTAACTGGTTGCCCATGTCTGATGCAATGGGACCCCCTGAGGTTTGGCTTTCTATGAATAATTATTCCTGTTATACCTGGGAAGTATCCATAGGCAGCTACTCAGAAGCTGCTCCTGACTTGCCCCTTTGTGCTTTCCATCTGGGGCTGTATCTTGGCCATTAACAATTATGAAGGAGTTAATACAACATGATCCCAATAGCGCCAGGGCTCCGGCTGCTGCTGCTGATCCTAGTTGTGACAGAACCTCTGCATCTTCCCATGCTCTTAGTTTGCAGGATTCCACACTTTTTTATTATTAAACTATTAAGTTTCCCTTGTTACCAATCAGGTAACCAGTATTACCAATAGTTACAAATCTGTTAAACCTTCCTTTTTGTATTTAGGTGCTATTTGTCAGCTACACTCTACCCAACAAAAAGCTGCACCTCTCTGCTGCTACTGAGCACATTTTACAGAGTGCTATGGGTACACACATGCACTCTGAGGGCAGTGGCATTTAAACAACTTGGTTTCCTGACGCTGTCTTCCAGTAGCTTCTCTGCTGTCTAATACCACGGTTGAGCTCTTCAGTGGAGGATTAATTCAGCACTCTCTTACCATTCTCCACTTTCACAAAAGAGCACCTTTGATGCTCCTGTCTGATAAAACCTGACAGAGACTGGTTAAGAGGTTCTAAAGCTGTTGTGGAAGTTCAGAGGAGGGCACCCAGGCAGAAGGGCCCTGACACCCTGAGCATGGCTCGCCTGGATTAAAACCAACGCATTTGCTCCCAGCAGGTTTCTGATCGCACAGCCACAGCAAGGAAAAGAAAAGTCACCGTGTTATTGCCATAGCTCAGGAGCTGGTTTTACTGCTACCAGCAGCAACAGCCTGGGGGAACGGGTGACAGGTGAGGCTGTACCCAGTAGCTGTGTTTACCATTTCGCCTGCCACGGCAGGAGAACTGCAGGCTAATCAGCAGAGGAACGCGTGGCAGGAAGCACCCACTCACTCCTCAGAGGATGCCAACAGATCTGTATCCCCATGCAGTAAAGCAGGGCTCGTATATCTAACTCTGTTCCCTTCTGACAGCACCTACATGCATCTTTATGTCCTTTCTGGAGGAAGCACTCTAACTCAGTGTTAAAGCACTGCCCTGCAGTCTGACTTTAGTCCCCCCTACATGGGACAAGTAAGTCTTCCACTTACAACAGCTTTCCATTAATAAGGTGACTTTTCACAGAGAAATGCACATTCCTATTACACATCTCTCTATCACTCCAGTCCTAACCCCTTTCAGCACAGGTACCAAGAGCACAAAGTACTTTTTGTGCTGAAGACACTGTGAGAGCAAGGCCTCCAGAAGCAGAAAATGGCACAGAAGAACTTTACATTTCAACCTGTAATAATGACTAGAAAATGTCTACTAATAAAGAGGATAGAAAGCAGCATAAGGCAGTAACAGCATCCTCACAAGTCATTGGTTCTCAGGTACTGAAGTGTCAGATTTTCATTCACATTTTTCCACTTTTGGAAAAAATCCCATTCACCCAACAAGTGGTGAAGTTTTTACCTTCATGTTTTTAATAACAAAAATCCTGGATCTTCATGACTGAGTTAAATTGATTTCAATTTTGATAATTCTAATACACAAAGTTTACAGAAAAAGGATTGTTTGGTTTCAAAAAAACCGAAAACCAATCCTTCCCTTTTGAGAAATCTGACCACGATTTGGTAGGAGCAAGTCATTCAACTTAAATATAAACCCATCCTTTAGAGCTCAGCACATCATTATTCTCCAGGTATGTTTAATAGGCTCCAGAAACCACTGTATGCCATGACTGGTACTACTGGTATTGACAGTTCCATGAGACGGTCATCTGGGCACATCTGATTTCTTCTTTTCAGACGTATAGGTAGTGTTCCTCTGCCAGCGGAGGTGAATACAGGGCACTAGAGATGCTGATCATCCATTTAAGAATAAAAACACCCCCAACAGATTTATTTTCCACTCAGCTCATTGGCTTCACTCAATACAAGGGGCTTTCCTTGTCCTTTGGGATCATCCTGAAAATTAAAGGTTACCCCCAGCAAGAGGGCAATGTAAAATAAATCCTGTTATGAATAGAACATCGTCCAGAACGTAGAACAATGTTCCCATGTTCCTGTACGCTCAATGTACCTATGGGAAGAGCCATATCGCAACAGCATGGCTCTGATCTGGAAAATCATGAACACGTGTAGTAACAGTGCCTCAGCAGCCCTGCACAACAATGAAGCTATCTCCTTACACCTCCAAACGTCACAACCGGCAGAGCGGCCTTCAACCAGCAAGGGGCTAAATAAGTCAAGCAGAGAGTTGTCAATACCGATTACCAAAGGAAAGAGCCCCGAGCTCCTCCAGCGTAAACCACAGCCACTTACCTGTGTAAATAAACCTGCCCGGTGCACCCTTGCAGAACTGCTTGGATTTGTATGATAATGTCACTTCAACCACTCCGGGGATGTGACGTGGAGGCGTCTGAACTCGGATGGCATGGGGCGTGATCAGCTGGGAAGTAAGAAAAGGAGAGGCACGATTACAACACATTGGTGTTAATCCCTTGCTTTCACTTTTCACCCTCCAACCATGAGTAAATGCATTGCTTATTGCTGTAACGGAGACACCACAGATCAGGCAAAAGTGTTAGATCTGGTCTAGTTTCTCACCTTCAATAGAGGAAGACTCGTTTTAGGATAAACCATCACCACAAAAATTGCACTGCTTATGCTGACTGGTTAACTGCCGGCTTATTTCTGGACCCAGGGGGAATCCTTCCTCCTTCTCAAACTCTAACCCCTTCTTTTTTACTTTTGTTACCTTTACTGTCTCAGACACCTAGAAGTGTTCAGTTCTGCTCTGGCTATTACTGAGCAGCTGGCCTCAATAGCATCACAGCAAGGAGTTCCACAGAAGATATACATCCCATAAATTTCCTTCACACAGGCTTATACATCCTACCTTACACACCATTTTTTTTATACCATTATCAGAACAGGAATTAATTAATTCCTATTAACACTGTTGAGCAATAGGGAGGCACCTCTACCTACCTCACTCCATACAAGCATGGTCCCAAACACAACTTGCAGCCCATCAAAGAAGTTGTCTCCGATGATGATGACCATTGCTCCACCGGTAGTCCAGCCCTCACTGGGGCTGATTGCTTTGATGCATGGTGTGGCTGAACAGAACCAAAAGGACATCAGAGCATCAGGTTATAGGGTTGTTTTCCCACTTGGATTTGAGACTGTTTGCAACAGTGGTGTAAACCCTTTGCAGGAAGGCCTAGGACAAGTCCCCTCCAGCTATTCACCCATAAAGGCTGCTTTACCATTCCATGAAGCCCAACAAATCAATACACAAATACATAAATAGATGAAACCATGTTTTCTGCCTTGGTGGTGTTAATGACTTGCCTATTCATTACTGGCACTTAATTTGGTGTCATTAAAGCCTAACAGGCCAACTGTAGTAGGTGGAAAAGTGAAACACTTAACTGATTGTGCAGAGGCTGTTTAAAAACCACCCCATTCAGTAGCATATGATCATACAAAAACCCGGTGGAAGGAGAGAGATATCAGATTTATTAAGTTTATCAATGGGTAAAAAAAGATAGGGGAATATCAAATGTTTCCTCCAATTCAGGAGACAATTCCTTGATTTTATAGAGTAGATTTTTTTTCCCCCCTTCTCTCTTCCATATGTTCAAGGCCTCTGGACTATGCATCCCATCAGGAACCCAATATGGTTTCCAGGCCATAACCAAAGTCAATCCATCACTCCATTCCCAATGTTGACAGGGTCAGAGGTGGAGGGGAACTTTGGCAGTGCTCCAAAAACATGAGACTCCTTTGAACAGCCAGTCAATCACATCCAATCAGTCAAGGAAAAACTGGATGGCTTCCTAGGCTAGGAATCCTGGGATTTTCCTTCTACCATTTCACTGCCCGCTGGGGGAGAATTAACACCACTCTGAATTCTTTACTGATTCAATCATTTTCTTCCAGTTCATTAATTCTTCTTTTAGGTTGATACAGGGCACAGTTAAGAAGTGGGGCAGCAAAACATTATAATGAAATAATATCCTTTCTTGTCTTTTCTACTAACATCACTTGCTCTTCTCACTTTCACTAGCTGCAGGGGAGGGAAAAGGAGACACAGATAGCAGTTTCTAGCTAGTGTCTGCGTGAGAGAGGTGGAATGCACTGGGAATGAATGTATGGGGAGGGGGAAAGGAGGGGCCAACCGGTTTGAAGCTTAGCAGATACAAGTATTTGTAATTGCTTTAATATAGTCCAAAACCCATCCTGCAGCCGGCCATGAGCCTTGCTTGGCCAAACAAACTAAAATCAATTAGTGTCAGTCTCCTTCTGTGCATTGTTATGCTTTGCACATAGTTTGTTTAAGGGAACTGGTGACACTTTTTCATACACATCTTGTGCTGTAACAGTTCTGTTTAACTAAGATGTCATGTTGCCTAATTTGCCTGAAATCAAATCTATCCCAGCTGAACGAGAAGCCTGGAATTCAGACAATACTTTGTGTTTCTGTGTTTTTCAGCTCTGCAGTACACACTAATTAATAAACTGGGGGGAGGGGGAGTCTCTGAGATGTAAAGAGGATCAGATTTTGCACGCAGCAGACACTTTTCCTGCCTCTTCCTTCTCTAACCCCCCTGAGGTTCTGTAGTTCCCCCTCAGCCTCCCGAAAACAAACAGAAATGGAAGAACGGGTAACATGCTTTCACATCTGTGGCCTGTTCTTCATACAAACGTCCTACCTTCTGAAGGGTCAAGTCTCCTTGCTCTCCGGCCATGCTTGGAGTTGTTGTGAACAAACATGTTGTCAGACACTGCCAGCACGTGCCCATCGACATTCACAGTTGTTGATAGCACAACCTACACGTTTAGAAAGGGAGGAGAAAGCAGGCAGGTAAACAACGTGCTTCGAAATTCCACTTGTGAAATGTGGATTATTCAGCTGAGTTAAACCCCTGTTCTGTCTGTAAAATGGCACCAGGTCCTGCAGGGTTTATTGCCCAACAAGAAGGGGAGAAGGTATTTCCAGTCTTCATTCTAGGCATTAATTCCATTTAATACAGCATCCTAAGGGCCATATAAAGTCCTAACTGTATAATGAACCATCTACTACAGATGGCCTTAAATTTGGTTCCCTATGATGCACTGTAGCATAGCTGATGGCAAAGAGGGCTGAATACACCAACCAGGGGGGCAGGCTGCAGAGCACCACAGCAATTTGCCCTCTGATACACACAGGCAGATTCTGAGCCATCTGCTGTACTACGCTCACATGCAAATGGACCTGCATCTGCTTTAAAATACAGGTCTCCATTGACTGAACAAAATGGAAACTCTTACTCTGTGAAAACAGCACCTCGGATCACGTCTGGGGTTTGACATTGGTGTGCTTAGAGCCTCCTGGAGGTCACCTGAGCCCAAGGACTTCACACCAAGATTCAGTTTCTAAACCTCAACGTCCACGTTGCTGGGTTCCAGCTGGGTATCAGTTCTTAGAGGAAGTGTATGTTCATTAATCCCACTTAGTTTTCCCTTTACAATAGAACATCCAAAGGTGAAAGTCTTATAAATCCAGAAATATACGTGCCTTTAAACCACAAACTTTTAGGAAAGCCCAAACAAACTGTGTTTTAACTACTGCAAGAAGCAGCATCTCAGGGAAACTTTCAGGTTTCAACCATTAGTGCAAGACTGCTGAACTCCATTCAGCTGCCACACAGCCACAGTAATTCACAGCTATTGAGAATCCAGCCCTGGGTGTGCTCATCAGTTTTCACAGATGTAGCTGTCATAGTCTAGGTAAGAGAATGTCAAGCTCTAATTGCTGATCAAACTCCATTCAGAATATAGCAGGAGAAGCCTTGCCCTCTACGGGGTTCTGCTAGCTTAAAGAACACTTACTTTCTCGAGACAGATTTAATTCATTCCAAAGGGCTCTTGTCATACTGTACTCTTACACTTCTCAAGCATTCTTGTCACAAAATGTGTTGCTTTTGTGTGCCAACTGATTTCATCATTGCACATTTGGGTGGAGTGAGACTCGCATCCAAAGGGAACATTTCCCGCATGACATAGCTGAACCCACTCAGATGCACTTCATTATTTTCCCTTAAACAATGGAAATAAATTTTCATCTCTCCCTGGCCAGCCCAGAGCACACTGTGGCACCAGGGGAATAGACCTGAATTATTCCAGTGTCTGAAATATTTACGACAAGTGTTTAAATTGTAACCAAATGTAAATAAAAAGTATATCATGTATATACAGTTACACTATATAATATACACACAGCTCAGCTCACATACACAAGCACAGTGAGCACACACCCACATGCTCTCGGTATGAGATCTTTGCAAGAGATGCAGACTTCAAGTACGCATGTTCCCTGTCTGAGTAACCATTTGGGTGTAGAAGTTGTGCACAACACACGAGCCACATTCCGGTACGAGTTACAGAGATCCCTGCAGCATGAGTAACAGCTCTGCTCTGAAGGTAAGTCCTGAGCATCCTTCATCCCCTGAGCCAACAGGGGTGGATGAAGCACTTTTAGACCTCTCCACATGAGCGGTTCCATTTTTATTCACCTCTCCATCACAGGAGGGTCAAAGCCACTTGGCAGTACACAGCCTGGGCCCTGGGGTAAGTAACTACAGCTTTCTCATGGAGAGGACAAAATGCAAAATTCAGATCTGGACCTGAACGTTCGCAGAAGTTTCGGACCTTGTGTGCAGTAATCTCAAAGGCACTGCTCCAGTTCAGCAGAGACCTTTGTGTCTTTGCTACAACACTGCTAGCCATCATTATCGATGATGTGGAGTAAGGACATCATGAGATTAGGGACGTACAAGGAACTGAACTTCTTCACTTTGCTCCAGTCATTCCCTCCTGCCCGATGAACACGACAATCCCATTGTTTTATACTTGAAGATTAAAAAGCAATGTTTTATGGATAAAAGGAAGAGGAATGTGCATTCCACTCTGGTCTCTAACTCCCAGGCCCTTCCCTTTCACAAGCCAACTGCTTTCCCCCAGTGAGTATTTCCTGGGTCATGAAGGGTGACCCTTTCCATCTGGAATCAATCAGTCAACTCCTGACAACTTCCTGAAACACCTCACTCCATTTCCTGTTCTCTCCCCCTTCTCTCTTTCCCCCTGGTTTGCTTCACTCTTCAAAACTGCAGGCCACAGCAGCTTAATGTTAGAGGGTCAGACACAGTTAGACTCCAAAACACTACACAAGAACACCTTTGACCTTCAAAAATCTTTACATCTTAGCTAAACAAATCAAGGTCAACATTTCTTACCATTACCTTGTTAACCATTTCTAGGCATTTTTGCCAATACCCTTCTGAACATGTATTTACCAGTAACACTTGTTCTCCTAACATCATAAAACATTCCAGCCTTTTGTTTAAAAGAACCTGCATTTAGTGCTGATGAAAGGTGAGCTGAAAACTTCCATGGAGACTGAAAGTCTCAGATTTGTCTACAGCACTGACAAATTACTGGCAAATCTTTTTGGTGCTTTCTCTTACCCCGATCTGATGGCACTGCTTCTTGGCTATGATAATTTGGCTTCTATGCCTGTTTACTTGACGGTCTTTTACCTAAAATCAATAGTTAGTGCAAACTGGAATCCTCAGGGAATGATCTAAGAACATCAACATCTGACAAAGAGGCCGTGGATTCCAGTAATTGTTGGTGAAGGCCAAATGTGACACAGGCAGCATAAGGACCAAAGATTTTGTGCTGCCCAGCAGCTGGATCAACCCATCACCTCCACTGGAGTTTCAGAGGACACCCAATCAAGCAAGGAATCAACAGGGCAATGTGTTATTCCTCCATCCATCCAATGGAGGGTCCATCTCTAGGAAGAGTGAGGGAGTTCCAGGCTTCGAAGCGGTGCTTTCAAGCAGTTGTTAAGAGTCTCTCTCCAAATCTGCAGGAATCTTCTTGTTAGCTGGGAAGCCACAGACACAGAATGATTCCCCAGCAGCACTGGAGGAATGCGTGTGCTCTATCTCTACATTATCTTTGTTTCCCAGGTGGATTTCTGTAATGAAATTCCTTGCTCAAAAACCACAATGAGGGTTCACCCACAATGACATTCAAACTGTCCTTAGCACACTAAATTCAGGTTCTCTGAGCTGCACTGCCCCTCTCCCACTTCCCTGCACAGGGTTGTATTTCTTTACAGACTTTTACCTGGGTACTCCATTTTTCCTTCCCCATCAATCCATCGCCCCAGTATTTCCATATTCTAAGGTATGTTCCTCTTCAAATCATGTATGTGCAAGTAAATACACATCACCACATGCACATAAAAGCTGCATCACTCATAGACACCTTTTTAGACATATGGTACAAACATTCCAGGCATACAGGCATTTACTTACATGTAATGTATCTCATCCCTGTGTAAATGATCTCTCTCAAAAAATTCCTGTTACCATTCCAAGTGTGGAAAAAATTCTTTATGACACTGTACATCTGGAAGCAATATTGCATTCCTGATGCACTTTCCCTTGTAACTCTCTGGTCACAGCACCCTGTTACTTTAACTTTTCAAAAGAAGAACTACTATGAGGATTAAAAAACTTATCATCATTAGCAGTATTTTCCAGCTGGGTGGAAGGAAAGATGTCAGGCCTCATCCTGCTGTCTTCACTTGGACAGGGCTCCCATTGATGTCAATAGGCGTTTTGGTTGAGGGAGTAATACAGGAGTAGAGGCTGGAATATTGTGTGTTTGCTCCATAGCCGGATTAGGAATGGCATAAACAATGTGAAAAATACCAACAGCCTCTCTCTGCTCAAAACTTTCATTGAATTCTTTGGGATATTCTCCCTGAGACCCTGAGCCTGCTGCAGACTCTAGGCTAACAGAAAAACTGATGCACATAGCCTTCACGTAGGCTGAATGTGGTTCTGGGCAAGCTGATCTTGCTGAAGATGTCCCTGCTCATTGCAGGGCTAGATGACCTTTGAAGGTCCCTTCCAACCCAACCTGATCTATAAGTCTATGATTCATCTCAGGAACAGAGGCTCCAAGATTTTTGGGGCACAGGGACAGGAGAGCAACCTCATCTGTGGTTTGTTTTTAATAGACAATACATAACTCTGGCAACTCCCTGTCATGATGGCTATTTGGTCTCCAGATCCAAGCACATTAAACTACATGACTGCTTTTTCTTCTGCACTTGCAGTCAGTCCTTCCCTTACTCATATAGAACCTAAAATAACATCACCCTTTTCTGTGTCAGTCACTCTCTGATGAGGAAATGTGCCACCCATTAACAGCTTTAGACTGTGCTGTTACTCGCTGCACTTGTTCTGCAGTCTATACCTGGGAAATTAGTCTCCCATAACACCAGTCCATGTAGCATTCACCTCTCTAACAACAGTTCTGCAATTCCTACTCACATCCAAGAGACCGTGGGGGTCTCTGGCACATTCTTTCACCATTGGCATGAAAAGGATTTTGGTGTAGACCCGCTGTGTTTCATTCTTGCTCTCCCTTTTTGTTTTCCCAGCCTGCGCTGCTAACTCACAGTATCGCCCCACCACTCTTACCCAGTTTTCCTTTTCCTGAATGACACAGATCCTTCAATGCTTCGTATCAGAAGCCAGCTGCGTGAATTCTCAAGCACAGCCAGCTTTGCTCACGTGCCTGATGATGAACTGATCCAACCAGTCTGAGGTCAGGCAGGAAATCTCCCCAGGGACACACCTTGTTATTTTTCCTTTCTCTTTCTCCCCTAGAGCATCTAGAGGGGGATACCTGCCAGGAAACATTCCATGTCATGATGTCTGCTGAAAACAGAGGGCAATTGCTGACCTTTCTCTTTGTGCTTCTAAAAA